GTCCTTATCCCATCCCCAGGGCATCGTTCTCTAAGAAATGTTCCTTCCCATCATACGTGCCTCCAGAGCCCTCAAATACTTCCTGGAGGCTGGTTGTATTTTCAAGTGAAAAACCCCTGGAAGCTGATCCCGGTACAAGAATGTTCGACACGAATGTCTACTAGCAAACGGCGGGGAATCATGCCTATTATTTAATTCCTATCTCGTTGCTCCTTTCGTGGTCGATCGTGGGCCAAATGTGGGCGAATTAAGTGCCGTTTTGAACGTTCTACCAAGGGGCTCCCCTCACGATGCCGCCCCCGTCTGTGGAGCGTTTAAGGTCAACCATCCTCAAAGAAATGCAAAAGAACACGTACAAAGACTGAATCATAATAGTAGATTCATACGTGTGGACTTCTGTAGGTTGTATTGCTGAATACCTGATCAGTAAGTAGTAGTTTAGACTCCTTGGTCGGTGAATCTAGGACAGTCGATCAAGCTTCAAGTTGAGTCTTGGGAGTTTGAGCGTTGGCGTGGACCGACTATTCTCGCCGTTTGGCAGATGGGAGCAGATATTGCCAGCATCACGGATAATTCCGACTGGAACAACAGGCCGGCGGCGGCCGCTTCCTCAAAATTTTCTTTATTTTTGTATCAAGAACCCGCCAATCGCCCGCCAAGGCAAGGGATGGCAACACCAATGCGCATAATTATAACACATCATTTTTTGTTACCGCTTGCAACAAAATCCATCTGAATGGCGACTACTGCTTCTGAATTTGACGAAGGCTTTGTCAGTGACCCAAATCTGTTGCAAATCTGACCCGGTCAAGTCAAGGGTCAAGTCAAAATCCTATTATCCTAGGCTTCTACCCATCATCGACGTGACCTTGAAATTTTTGACTGACGCTTTGGCTTGACCTTCTTTTTTGACGGGGTCAACCCTAGTGAACCAGTTCATGACAACAATCCGGGGTGTGGAGATGTTGATGCAGTGGTATGTTGTGGGTCGCGTCAACGCCATTACCACAATGATTTTACTCAGTCTTCTAACAGTGTTCAGGTGCGAGTCCAATGCTATTCCAAAAAGGTCTGGAATCCAATTGATCACATACTATTTAAACATTTTTTATGTAAGTAAAAAAAAAAAAAAACACAAGAATGTCTACTAAACGTACAGCATGTTGCCGGGTTTTCCGGAAGGTCAGTGATACATTTTAGATGGACTTCTTACTATTACGAAACAATGACCTGGACCGAAACTGGACTGCAATCCATCGCAAGCGAGTAATGTGGATGACCAGTAACCGGGGAAAAGACTAGATCGAGCCTTCCATTTGCGGTATTATTCTTGCACACGGAAAACGCGTCGGATT